TTTTCATCCTTGTTGCTGTGTCAATAAAAAAAGATACAAGTCATTTTTTAAGTTGAGAAAGTTGTGAAGGATGGTACATGTACATATAATGGTTTTAAGTTACAGTGTAGCTCTTGCTATACATGTACATGTACAGACAGTGGCCACAGCTTCGAAGCATGTAAATTATTGTGTACATACTTTTAAATAGAGGAAATTTTTGTCACAAGAATTTCTGGCGAAATGTCACAACCACATGTAATTATTAATAAGTTGACACTTGGCAGAAATATTGAAGTGGCAGTAAATTTCTATTTATCTCAAAACCATCAAATCACCAAATTAAATTTGTCTAATACATGTCTCTCTAATTACATATGTAGCACATAGCATTCATGTGCAAACACACCAGCATGTACATGTTTATACAAGTGTATAACCCAATGATATTACCATCATAGCCAGAAATTTTAATCGCAAAAAACTTTTGTGGTTTGATGGCTCCCAGTCTATTTTTGGTTTTTATTTTCGTGGATCATTAGTGAAGCACCGACGCCTCTCATTAACGTGCAAATAATTCATGGTTTTCAATTATGTGGTGTCATTTCAAACCACAAAAACTATGAAAGCTTTTTGCCACAAAACTTTCTGGCTATATGGTATAAAGCTACTCTAATAAACTTCTAACCTTTTGAACTTGAAACTTTGGCGTCTGCAAACTATCATCCAACGAAGAATTCCCAACCAAACTCTTAGCACTGAGAGATGGGCTCAGAGATATAGTGAGGGGACTATCAGCCTGATGACGCTTTTGAGTCCTCAGCTTTGACCTCTGACCTCCAACAGGAGCTGTTTCTTCTTCAATAGAATAATCCTCATCACTGGCATAGTCCGAGTTTATGTCTTCATCGCTGTCAGCATAAGAGGGTGATGGGGAGGGTGAGGAGGAGGAGTCCTCTTCAGTTAGTGCTGGGACTGGATTGAATAGGTCCAGTCCTTCCATTGGTTTGGGCCAGACTTTGTTACGGAAAGCAAAAATGATGCGACTGATTCTAATGGCAACAGCTTTCTCCTGTAAATGATAATGATATAAAAATGAAATAATTATTATGATTGAAGGAAATGAAGAACAATATAAATAAGGGAATCAAGTTAATGCTAAATTATTTGGAGGAAATAACTCAAACTTTCTACATACAATGTACATGTAGCATAAAAACATCAGCATGTATCAATAAATGTAATGAAAAATTTGGGGTAATTTCAGAGCAATTTTTTGGAAAAACCATGGGCTTTTTTATATAGCCTTTGCTTTTTTTCGAAAACTGGCTTGTTTTTAAAAATGTTCATAACTTGAATTATTTGTCGATATCAGCTCAAACTTTCTACATAGCATAAGGACATCAGCATGTATCAGAAAATGTACGTAAAAAGAAATTGGGTAATTTTGGAGCCATTTTTCAGAAAAACCATGAGCTACTATAGCCTTGGGTATTTCTCAATAAATTGGCCATGTAAAAAACGGCAATAACTTGAAAAATTGAAGTTGGAATTGGCTCAAACTTTCTACACAGCATAAGAACATCAATATGTATCAGAAAATGTCATAAAAATTTGGGGTAATTTCGGAGCCATTTTTCAGAAAAAAACCATGGGCTATAGCCTAGGATAATTTTCACAAATTGGCCATTTTTAAAAACGGCCATAACTTAAAAAACTGAAGTCAAAATTGGCTCAAACTTTCTACACAGCATAAGGACGTCAATATGTATCAGAAAATGTAATAAAAATTGGGGGTGATTTTAGAGCCATTTTTCAAAAAAACCATGGGCTATATATAGCCTTGGGTATTTTTCAGATTTTGGCCATTTTTAAAAAATGGCCATAACTTGAAAAATTGAAGTCGGAATTGGCTCAAACTTTCTACACAGCATAAGGACATCAATATGCATCTGAAAATGTGATAAAATTTGGGGTGATTTCGGAGCCATTTTTTGAAAAAACCATGGGCTATGAGCCTTGGGTAGTTTTCAAAAATTGGCCATTTAAAAAATGCTCATAACTTGAAAAATTAAAGTCAGAATCAACTCAAACTTCTACATACATTGTACATGTACATGCAACATAAGAACATGTAAAAGAAAAACTGTCAAAAAGTATAAAAAGTGGTTTTCGGCAAAATCAACAAAATTTTACTATTTTTTGCTCTTTATCCTTTACCTTAGGCCATCCAAGAGGGACAGGTGTAGTGTTGTTTGGTATGATGGCAAAAGACGGTTTTGTTTTCTGTTCCTCTTCTCCAGTCCCTTCATCCTCACTATCACTGTTCTCTCTTTCTCCTCCGTCTTCACTCTC